TCACGGCAGCCCCTTTGTTCGCGCCCGGCCGCGCCGCAGGAAGCGCCGCCACGTGGGCGCCCGGCCGCTTCCCACGCGCTGCCTCGTCCCGCTGCCCCGGCCTCGGCAGCTCCAGCGGCGCCCRCGTCCCGGCTCCTGCGCTTACGGCCCGGCTGCCTTGGGACGCCCCAAGTATTGCCGGGTTTGGGCGCCTGCTGAAGCGCCCTGAGGGGAGAGCCCCGGCGCAGGGCGAGGAAGTGCCCCTTTCCTCCTCCCTGCAGCGCAAACACGCGGCTAAAAGGACCAAATTCCAAAGTTCTTATTCACGCAAAAGCTCCGCTGTCCTCGGCTGAGCGGCGCCCGGGCCCAGGCCCCGGCCGGGCACGCGGGGCCGCGGCAGAGCCGGCTCCAACCCTGCAGCTCCGGGCGGGACGCGCGGGATGAGCCAGGCGGAGGCGAGCGGGGCTGGGGAGCCGCTGCGGGACRCGGGGGCTCGTGTGCTCATGTGCTGACCCCTCCGTGTCCCACGCAGATGACTCCTCGTCGGAGAGCTGCAGCGGGAATGGCTCCTCCACCCTGAACCCCTCCACGTCCAGCAGCACGCAGGGCGACAGCGCCTTCCCCGACATGAACGGCAATGGCCCGGCCGCCCCCATGGACTTCGCCGCCTCGGCCGACGAGCAGCCCATCAACCTGTGCGACAAGCTGGCGCCGGCGCACGGCCCCACGTCCTACCCGGCGGACGGCTGCAGCGCYGACGGGCTGCGCAGCCGCGTCAAGTACGCTGTGAAGGCCACTGCCGAGGTAGGCGCCCGCGCCGCCGCAGCGCGCACGGCACAGCCGGAGCGCGGCACGGCACAGGCGGAGTGCGGTACGGCACAGCCAGAGTGCAGCACAGCCAGAGTGCGGCACAGCCGGAGTGCAGCACGGCACAGCCGGAGCACAGTACAGCCGGAATGCAGCACAGCCAGAGTGCTGCATGGCACTGCCAGAGCACGGCACAGCCAGAGCGTGGCACAGCCCCTCTGGAGCACAGCAGGGTGCCTCTGGAGCGCGGCACTGCCGGAGTGCGGCACAGGGAATGGTGCCGAGGCAGCCGGTGCCCACCTGGCCTCCCAGGACTCTGCTGCTGCCCCGTGTCAGGGAAGCAGCCTGGGCACCCTGTCACCATGGCTGTCCCCACCCGACGCTGTGACACCCACTTGTCCTCAGCCCTTGCTAGTCGGGGAAACGGCCCAGCCTGTTCAGCTCCTGCCTCTGTTGTGTTTCATGGGCAGCGGTGGCTGGTGGCCAGAGAGTGAGCCCGGGCCGGGCCGCTTCCCCGCTGCCCCGGGGCCCCGCGGGGCACCCTCACACCCACSGAGACCAGGGCTCCCAGCGCCTTCGAGCACCGTCCCCGCACCCCAGGACATGGGACGTGTCCCCTAGCCAGGGTCAGGCCGCAGCTGCAAGAGGCGAGAAGCAAACCTGGGTTTCCTGCCTGTTGGGCCACCGCGGTGTCCCTAAGGCCACCRTGTCCTTCCTCGGCGGGAGGTGCCAGGCTGGTGCATGGCGGGGGTGCGTGGCCGGGGCACGGTGCCCGTGCGGGTCACAGGTGCAGGGGGAGGACAACAGGTTTGGTGCCATCCGAACCTGAGGGGATAGAAACAGCGGCCGAGCGCGTCTTGCGGGGCGAGGGCTCGCACCCCTGACCGCCTGTCCCCCTCAGTCCCCTCCGTACAGCTCCGGGAGCTACGACTCCATCAAGACAGAAGTGAGCGGCTGCCCCGAAGACCTGACCGTGGGCAGAGCTCCCACGGCCGACGAGGACGACGACGATCACGACGACCATGAAGATAACGATAAGATCAATGACTCTGAAGGGATGGACCCGGAGAGGCTAAAGGCCTTCAACGTAAGGACAGAACCTGGCCCGAGGCACGTGGCAAGGCCGCCTTGCTCCCGTATCCCTGTGCTCACCTGCTCTCCTTTTCTTCACAGATGTTTGTGCGCCTTTTTGTGGATGAGAATCTGGATCGAATGGTTCCCATCTCCAAGCAGCCCAAAGAGAAAATCCAGGCCATCATCGAGTCTTGCAGCCGGCAGTTCCCCGAGTTCCAGGAGCGGGCTCGCAAGCGCATTCGCACTTACCTCAAATCCTGCCGCCGCATGAAGAAGAACGGCATGGAGATGGTGAGGGCGCCTCGGCCGCCGCTGCTGCGCGCTCCCGGCCAGCCCGGGCTCTGGGGCCGTCTGCGCCCGCCGCTGGCTCCTCTTGCAGCCTGGTGGGGCAGGGCAGGGACAAGGGCTTTGCACTTCTTGCTCTTTCAGTGCATGAGTTATGGGGAGACTAAAGCGGCTGTGCCAAGGGGTGCTCTGGGCACGTGCCAAGGATTAACTCGGAGTGTCCCATGGAAGAAACAGGTCGCCGTGGCCTTGGTTCCTAAGCGTGTTTCTGTGCGGTGTCTCCCCAGACCAGGCCCACACCTCCTCACCTGACCTCAGCCATGGCAGAGAAYATCCTGGCAGCCGCCTGCGAGAGCGAGACGCGGAAAGCAGCCAAGCGCATGCGGCTGGAGATCTACCAGACCTCGCAGGTACGGAGCCGCACGGTGCCGCATGGACCTCCCCGCGGGGCTGTGCGGGGAGCGCGACGGGAGCCAGGGCTGACAGWCCTGGGCAGCAGCTGGCCCGGCGGGCACCATGGCTGCCAGCTTGGCCTTGCCCAGTGCCACGGGAGCTGGTGGGCGACGTGCTTGTGCCACGGGGGAAATGTGGAAGGGGTGGTGGAGCAGGGAGAAGGGAGCACATAGTGCACAGGGCAGCGGGAGACACTGAGCAGGTTCCCAGGCAGAGAAGGCAGAGACATGAGACAGTGTCCGAGCGGCTGGTGACCTCAATGGGAATGGCAGAACTGGAGGCAAGCGAGAGGCAGAGCCCTTAAATTCCAACAGCTTGAGAGCGGGAGGGGGAAATGGGAAAAGCTGTTGGCCAAATTGGCAAAAATGTTATTAGAAGCTGTCCTGAAGAGCCACAGCAGCTGGAACAGGCCTGCTGAGCACGCAGCGCCCTGGGGCGCACGGGGACACGGCCACTGCCCGGGGCAGCCCCGCGTGCGCCGCGCGCTGCAGGGCCTCTCTTTGCCTCCCGTGCAGGACGAGCCCATCGCCCTGGACAAGCAGCACTCCAGAGACTCCACGGCCATCACCCACTCCTCCTACTCACTGCCAGCTTCATCTTACTCCCAAGATCCAGTCTACATCAATGGAAGTTTGAACTACAGCTACCGTGGCTACGGCTCCCTCGGCGGCAGCCTGCAGCCGCCGGCCTCGCTGCAGACGGGCAACCACAGTAACGGTAAGAGGGGGCTCGGCGGGCCGGCTCCCGCATGGCCACCCCCAGGCCTGGCCAGGCTCCCCGTGTGTCCCAGGGGCCGCTGCCCGGCCCCGGCCCTTGCGGGGGCTGAGCTGAGCCGGGCTCAGGTGGAGCCAGCGCAGGGAAGGAGTGTCACTGCGAAAGAAAGACACTTGCACCACCTATTAATTATTAACCGCAGCGGCGCCTATCGCTGCCCCGATCTCGCTGCTGCTCGGGGCCGGTGCGTGTGCAGCCTCCCGCCTCCGGGGCCGGGGATCAGCAGCGGCGCCCGCGGCGCTGGCAGCTCCTGCCGGCCGGCCTGGCCGAGGGGCTGGCGCACGGCACACACCAGGGAAGCGGGGCTGGCACAACGGGGCCAGGAAGCGGCAGGAGAGGCCCTTGGAGCAGGGTTGATTTTGTAATAAATGAGCCTAGGACCAGAGCAGAGTAGCCAGGGTCAGAACAGGGCATGGAGAGGAGAACCGGGTGCCTGGCCCCRCAATGCATAGTTTAAAGCAGCCCCAAGGAGAGGGCCGGCCCCTGCAAAGCCCCGTTTGCTCCCTGGGGCCGTGCACTCCCGTGCTCCTCCGCTTCCTTCCCCTGCCCTTGGCCCTCCCTCCCCGACTGGGTAGGGATTTGAAAGGATGTGATTTCCGGAGTCCTGGAAGATGCCCGTCTGGGATTAACTCTTATCATCCCCTCCTAATGCCTCTTAACCCTGAATAAAGGTCCCACCGCAGTCTGCAGCTGCTGGGACCTAATCCGAGCAGGTCGGGCGCGGGCAGCGAGGGCTCCTGTCTGTGCCCCGGTGCCAGGCCCGTGCTGGAGCAGCTCCCATTGCAGAGTGCCCCAGAACAAGCAGACAGACCCGGGTGAGAGGCAGGACGGAGGCGCCCAGCAGCAAACTCGCTGCTTTCGAATGCATTGTCAAATCTCTCCTTCCCGTTTCTCCCCCCCTGCCCAAGCTCCTTCCCAGTCCTTTAAAGGGAAGCGCGAGCGGCTGGGCACGGGGAGGGAATTCCGCCAGCGGCTGCAGCTTCCCCAGAGCCGCCAGGATTTGTCGCAGGAGAGGAGCTGCTGCCTCCACCCCCGCCCAGGGCAGCTCTTGCTCAAACGCAGTTCCCTCTTCCCCGAGCTCCTTCCTCCTTCCCCGGCCGTGGGCGCCACACGGAGCTCCGTTTACGGCGCCTTTTCTGTGCGGTGGCAAGGCTGTCACATTAGAGCCACCTCCCGTTGCCGGGCACTCCCTCGCAGGACGTGTTGGAGCAGCCGGAATGAGCTCTCCTCTTCCCTCGCRTTTGCAGCTTTAGCACCTCTTTCCAGGCTCCTGTCTGCCCCGGGGTGCTGGGCTCACCGTGCTGCCGCGTTGGGCACTGAGCCCGGCTGCTCCCGCACGCTGCTTTGGGGTCCTGGGCTCCCGGCCCCTGCGGCATCGCCCGCCGCGTGCCCCACAGGCTGCCAGCTCTGCTTCCCTGCGCTGCCRGCCACCTCACACCCCGAGGATCCATCTCCCCTCTGCGCTTCTGCCTGGCTCTGCGGCCCTCCTGCCTCCCTTGGCCTCGCTTAGAGTCCAGCACAAAGATAATGGACTTTTTGTCCTCACCTTTATGTGAATGAGTCGTTCCTCAAGGGATGTTCATGTGAACTCCCTGGGCCCCTCAGACCTGCAGTGCTGTAGTGCCGGACCCGGAAGGTTTCGTGTTCACTGAATCGTGGAGCACTTGGCAGCTGCTTGGGGAGCAGGCTGGGTGCGGAGGGCTGGGTGGCTGGGACCATGCGTCCACAGAGAGCAGTGATTAAAACCTCCCCAGGGTCTTGGAGATCAACAAAGTCACAAAATTAAAGCTCTGTCTTTGGTGCACATGGCAGGTCTGTAGGCTGAGGACGGCCGCAGAGCAGGGGTGCCTTGGTGACGCACTTCAGGGAAAGAGCTTTCCTTGCCCGCTAAGGAAGCCCTAGATTTGCAGGACATCTGTGGAATCAGTTACAAAATGTAAAGCCCGGGAGGAATGCTTAGACTTCCCCCCACCAGTTAAAAACACAAGGAGCGCCTTGTGGCTCCGCGCTGAGCTCCTGCCCCTTGGTCGCTCCGGGTGCCGCCGCGGGCGCCTTCCCCGAGCTCGGCCGACCCAGCAGGTCGGGCGAGTGCCGAGATTTCCTCTTGGCCCGAGGGGAACCAGCAGCACGGAAACGCGCCTGGGCAGGATGTTGCTCGTCCCGCGGGGAGGCAGGAACAGGAGCTGGAAGACGTTTCCTCCTGCCCTGCAGCCTGCAGCCGCGTTGCTGGTGACCGTGGGCACCAGCCCTCGCTTTCCACGCAGCAAAGTGCAGGAAGTTGGGTTTGCCGCTCAATCCCAGAGCTCCTCTCCGTGTCGTGGTTGGTGTAAAGACAGGGGATTATTTGTGCTCTGTGTCGGGGCCAACGTGCCCAGGAGCCGGGGTCCCCCTGCACCTCCTGCAGGTGCAGAGCCCCAATCAAACCCTGGCCCGGGAGCAGCGAGTGCTGCTGAAAGCTGCTCGCCCCGCGCAGCCCCGAGCTCTGCGTGAGCGGCTCTCGCTTGTGTCCACAGGTCCCACGGATCTCAGCATGAAGGGGGGCTCCTCGAGCACGGCCCCGGCCAACAGCAGCAGCCGGGGCATGCAGGCGGCGCAGCTGAGCCCCACGGAGATCAGCGCCGTGCGGCAGCTCATCGCCGGCTACCGGGAGTCCGCCGCCTTCCTGCTCCGCTCTGCAGACGAACTGGAAAACCTCATTTTACAGCAGAACTGACTCCCCGCGTCTGCACCGCTCCTCTGGTGGAAGACAATTTATACCTGCTAGAAAGAGGCTCCCCGTGGTGTCCTGCTCAGGAACACCAGCGTCCTCCCGTGAAGCAGCGGGTACATGTAGTTTTAGAAGGTGGAACCCAAAAGACCTGTTTTCTTTTACACTCCAAGCACCTGGGACTTCAGGCACAAGGACACGTTTTTGACGCCTACCAACATGTGTGCATCTAGCTGACCAGGAGCCAGACCTGCAGCTTGGAAGGATGTGGGACTTTCAAGGGCAGAAGGGAGCCTGGGGAGGTTTGGGGCTGCAGATGTATTTAGGATAACCTTTGTGGACCCAAATGTTAGAATCCCGTCCCCAGATAATTTTCAAGTCTTAGGTGAGCTGAATCACATATTTATTGAGAAATGGACCCTCCTCTCCCCTTAGTAATTTATTTTTCTGAAAATGGATTCTTTTGAGTTTGTACAGATTGCCAGTTTTTTGTCTGTCCGAGCAGAAGGAATCGGTTCCTGTGAAGTGACACATTCCATATCACGACACTACGTCCCCGGCCGCTCCGCGCCACCCGCCCTGCTCCTCTCGGCTGCACCCGTGGGAGCTGTCCCGGAGAAGGGCGCWGCCGGCCCTGCGCTCGGAGCCGTCCCGCAGCGCGGCTCCGTGTGCGGCAGAGCCTCGGCAAGGCCGGCGCACCTGCGGCTCCCAGGACGTGCGGCGCTYGCCGGAGTCACGGCAGCTGCGAGGAGGACGGGAGGAAGCACCTGCAAGGCGCCGGCTCGCCCTCCCGCCGCTCTCTACCTCACCCTCCATTGCGGGCTCTTTGCGGGGCTGGCTGCGCCGGCCCCCGGGACGGGTAAGTGCGGCGGGCGAGCGGCCGGCGCCGCCGGGGCGGCCGGGACAGCCAGGGCGGCCGGGGCGGCCGGGCCCGCGCGCGGGGAGCTGCTGCTGGGCGGCAGCTCGTGGGGCCCGAGCACGACCCATGCACATCCGAGTGGGGCCCAAGCGCATCCCAAGCTTGACCCGAGCGCATCCCGAGCACATCCCAAGCATGGCCCGAGTGCACCCTGAGCACAGCCTAAGTGTGTCCCTGCCGTGGGCACCCGGCGCAGCGTGAACCAGACAGTAAAGTGCTCCGGAGCAAGCTGGGTCATCGGGCTAACGCAGGCACTGCGAGCACCGGCCGGCCAGGAGCCAGGTGACACCCGGCAGCCAAGTGACAGCGGGCGTCTGGGACACTGTCTTCTCCCCCTCGTCCTTGGCTGCCGTCCTGGAACGAGCCCACAGTTCCCGAAGTGTGGAAGGGAGCAGTGCGAGCGCGCCGGCGCCGTCCCGCCGTCAGTGCAATACCGGCCAGCAGAGCCGCTGGAGCCGCGGCCGCCTCCTCCAGGGCACACACTGTCCTCACAACAGAAACTTCACCCATTCAAAACCGCATTTGCCCCTTTTAGGTGCAGGGTTCCCTCCCTGAAGGCGGCCCTGGTTTGGAGGGCGCTTTGGGCCGGGCGCTCCATCCTGCAGCCCTCGGGGCTGCTCGAGCTCCGGGCGCGGAGGGGCAGGAGCCGGTCCTTGGCACCAGCTCCAGCTGCTGCCCGTGCCCAGCTGCAGGGGGGCACCGTCGCATCCGCCCCCAGCCCTTTCTGCTTGTCCCGGGGCGGTCGGTGAGGCCAGCGCCGGTGCCCGGTGCCGGACGCCCCGGTGGCGCCGGACAAGCCGGGCGCAGGCTCCTGTCTCCCYGCACCGCGCAGGCTGGCCTGGTTTGTCCGCCACATCCCTCCCCACGTGGAATTTATGTAAATATTTATTTTTGTGTGAATACCATGAAGGAACCAACCTTTCACGAAACGTCCCGCAGCCGTTTGGGGAAGTCTTAGCGCTCGCGCAGGAGAGGCCGAGACAATCGCTGTGCCCAGCTCGCTCTGAGCTTGTCACCGAGCTCCYGTCAGGGGCCACCGCCAACCTGAGCCATAAATTTGCCACCCACCAGCTCCCAGAGAGGTGACCCAGGGGCTGGCCAACAGGTACCAGCAGCGACCGTCTGTTGAAGGTTTTATTTATACAAGTTTTAGCTGTCCATACCAGATCGCTTTGAGCTCGTCGTAGCTTGTGGGGACGTTCAGGAGCTCTGGGGGAGCCCAGCGAGACTCGGGGCCGCGTAGGGAGGCGAGGGAGCGTCAGCACCCGATGGTCGTGTCCCGATGGTCCCGACCCAGGTGCCCAAAGCGCCAGTGCCGGCCGAGCTCTGCAGCGCCCGGCGCCGACCGTGGGTTTCTGTCCAGGATTCGCTTCCCTCTCCCCGGCCGTCCCGCGCGCTGCGGCTCTCGCCCCGTGCAGGGAGCTCCCCGGGGCGGCACCGGCTCCTGGGGCTGCGAATCCCGAACCTCGCGGCGAGCGGGAAGGAGCAGGAGCAGAATACAGCGGCTTGCCAGGCGTGCGGAGAGGTGGAAGGAGGAGGCTRGGCCAGCGGCCGGCCTGGATGGTCTTTGGGTTGTTTAAGAAAAGCTCATCAGCGATTGAGGGTTTTTTTTTTGTTTTTCCTTTTTTAAACACCACCATCCTGCCCGGATGTGCCGTTCCCATGACCGGCCTTCAGCATGGGAGCGTTCCCAGGACCCCACGGGATGTCCCTTGTACCTCCCCGATCCACAGGGCCGCTTGGCTCCCAGAGGTGGCCGCCGGATTTAGTACCAGTTCGTTAAAAAATAAAAATAAAAAATGCTGCTTTGAACTCAGAGGGTTAATATACTTTTGATTTGTAATTTTTTGTAAAACTTTTTACAAGGTAGCATAGTGTTTCACCAGAATATCAACTACAATCCGTCCATGGTCTGATTTTTATATAATTTAGTGGTGCTTTAGAAACTTTGGTTTGGTTGTTTCGGAGCTGCACAGCTCAGTTCTTCGCCTGTATCTACCTAAGACCAATGTGAACCTTTGTATTTTTGCTCCTGATTTTGGACTCAGTGAAAGTGTACTGTTTACATGTACAGAACTCCCGCCCCGCGTGTTCTGCACGAGCTGCTGTTGAGGAGGAAGCTGCAGCCCCCGGCTCCGTCTGCCCGGCAAAGCCACCCCGGCCCCTCCGCGGAGCAGCCGGCCCTTTTGCTGCTCGATTCTTCCCAGTTTTTACGATTTGGCTGCAATTCCGCCCGGGAATCCGGCTGGTGCCGAGTGCCCCGCGAGGGGCTCGGAGCGGCTCCCGCTCGGAGAGGAGCGACCGGCCCGACGGGAGGCCGGGGGACCCCGTCCAGGTCCCGGGAAACGCTTCAGCTAACGGYGAACCGGCCCCAGAGGTTAATTATGGATTGGAATGGCAGGGGAGCGTTCCCTCGGGACGGGGGCTCTCCGGGAAGCCAGGCCTTTCCGGAGGGCTCCCACGGAAAGCAAATGGCACTTAATCCAGCTTTTAAGGTGACACTTTATTGCTTAATCAATTGATTCGTTTTGAAATGATATTTTTGCAGATAGGCACCTATGCAACTTAATGTGGCTCTTAAGCAGATGAGCACTTCCTCCTCAACGAGCTTGATAAGAGTTATTTGTGTTATATACTGTGGATTTTTCCAGTAAATGTGGCTTAATATTTTAATTCTTAGAATGTGTGTCTATTATGTATGTGATGCAACTTAATTCTGTTCTGTTTGTGGAATGATTAGCACAGGCCAACTCCCTGTTCCCCTCACTTAACAAAGACCAATGAGCTGTTAATCAAGCTGTTATCTCCATGGTATTACTTGCTAAATGCACTGATTTCATAAGTATGTGGAATCCTCTTTTTCTTTGGAATCTGTATATCATATATAAGACTGAATCTACTTAATAAACACTGTATAACAAAAAGGGCTTTTTCCTCCCGTCTCAGCGCTGGGCGGCTCTGGCTCCGGCTTCCAGGCCCCTTCCAGCCTCGGCTCCTCCGGCCGCTGCCGGCGGCTGCGCCCGCAACGCGGGGCTTGAAGGAGAAAGAAAGAAAGAAAGAAAAAAGGGCGAAACAAACAAACAAAAATCGATCTGTCATTTGGAAGTAAGCTGTGCTTTCCATTCCTTAACAGACAGCTGCAGTTCCTCTAGATAGCGGCGGTAGCGCTCGTAAGTGGGGCTAGTCACAAATCTTTTGCTTAACTTATATTTTGACAAAACTGATTAATTTTGTGAAATGTCTGTTTTTTGTGGAAAAAAAAATGGAGTTTTCATTGAAGTTTGTGGAAAGTTCTCCCTCTCCTCATGGAAAATACTGATTTTTGGTATCAGCTTTATTCACTAAGTATAATAAACCTTTGCATCCATAAAGCGTTGATCTCCAAGTGCCGTGCGGCGCAAGCCCTCCYGTTTGCCGCAGGGATGGGGTGTGAGGAGCAGCCAGAAGGATGAGTGGATCCATGGATCTCAGAGCCTTCCCRGGGAAGGGCCCCGTGTCCGCACACRCATYGGTGCCGGGGAACACGGGCAACGTCCCGGCCGCGCGGCCGAGCCCCTGGCGCAGCCGGCCACGAGGGTCCCTCCGCTGCGCGAGCTCGGTGCTCGCCAGCAGCCCGGGGGGCCGGGCCGTCCCCGCGCACGGGCTGCGTGCGGAGGCGACACGGAGCCCTCACGGCACGCGGAGCCGACGGGCCCTGCGGCTGTTCCGCAGCACGAGGGCTTTGCACGGGSTCCATCCCACATGGCTCCATCCCACGTGGGTCCATCCCGCACCGAATTCACCCCAGCCAGGTCCATCCCACCCGGGTGTCACTCCCCTGCAGCGAGTGGCGGGCGCAGCCCCCTGCCCATCAGGACGCGGCCCTGAGACTAACTCAGAGTTTTAAAGCACGCACCGTTTCCCCTCCCTGCAAGAGCGCGTTCCCTCGCGCTGCAGCGCAGCAGTTCTCAGCATCCGCCCCTTTCTGCTTCCCCGGGCAGCCGGCAGCGCAGGGGACGGGGCGCCGGGCGCCCCGCGCACACAGCGACGATGGGGACAGGGCAGCACCCGCTGCTCTGTGGCGCCCGGCCCCACCAACCAGGGCGCTGCAGCCAGCAAGGACCSCACGGGACACAGGGAAGGTCCCCAGGGATCCCTGCCCAGGGAGCCACCGGCCGCCCTGGCCAGCTCCACGCCAGGAGCCGAGATCCTCGCTCCTCCCTGTGAGTCATTTCCAAACCGTTTACTGCCTAGAAGAGGGAAGGGGAACACTTCAATCCGGGTTTATGGGCAGCTTTAAAAACCAACATAATGACTGTTGTTAGGCTCTTCTGAAAACATTTTCACATCATTCATGCAGACTTCAGTGAGCCAGCAACATAAAAGGCCATAAACCAGCCCGGACAGAGCTAGCGTTGCTGGTGCCCTGGGCGCCCTGCGCTCAGGTGCCCGCAGGGCATCGCCCCGCAGGGCAGGTGCCACCGTCACCGTCCCCGCACGGGGCTCGTGCCGCAGCAGCCGGCTCCAGCAGCGCCGGCGCAGCGGACGTGCTGCCTTCGGTTACCTGAAACGCAAAAAAAAAAAGGATTTAACCAAGTCCAGGCAACAACACGAGCCCCTTTAAATCATCCGAGCTGAAAAGCTCTGGAGCRTCCTGCCAGCTAAAAGAAGGGAGAAAAACCAAAGAACACTGGCTTAAAAAGAGGAGTCCAGAAAATGAGGAGTGAAGCCACAAGCGCAGGTTGTACAGTGTTTATTTCTGATACGACAAGGGAGAGCGGGGCGGCCCCGCCGGGCTCTGCAGACCGGCCCCGGCCCCGCTCCGCTCCCCTCCTTGGGGGGTCCCGGCTCCTGCAGGGCCCCGCGGGGCGGCCGCAGCCCCCGGCCCACGCGGGGACATGCAGCGTTCGCCAAGGCGCCGGGTTAGGGGAGGCGGCGCAGAGCTCGAGCAGGGCCAGGCGGGCCCCGCTGCAGCGAGCGGCCCCGGGGAGCAGCGCGGGGCCCGGGGGGTTCGGGCCCCGCTCCGGGCGGCCGCACAGGGACCCCCCCGTCCCCGGGGGCCCAGCGAGGGGCGGCCGCGAGCGCAGGGCCGGCGCCGCCGCGACGCCCCACACAGCGGCTCCGGGCACGGATGCAGRTCAACAACTAACACCACTTTAATGCAATACTGCTGCAGAGCCCCAAAACCAAGGGGGATGAGAGAAAGGAAAGAAAAAAGGAACCTTCGTGGTCTATGTACATTACATCCATTTACAGAGTTGGCCAGTACTGTGTACAACATATAAATACATGATCAAACAGATGCATAGAGGGTACTTACAGGAGTCAAATAATTCACTTTATACATCCCAGAATGAAAAGATTTAAAAAAAATTAAAAAAGAACATAGGTTTAAATGTTAGATGGTCATCACACAGATGAGGAGCCAGACGCTTGCAAGTGGCCAGATGCTGTCACGCTGCGGTGCCCGGCGCCGGCTGCAGTACAGGGGTCCCCGGCACAGAGACGGCGACGAGGAGCCCCGGCCACGACCGGGGCTGGGTCCTGCTCCGGGCRGCACTGGGATGGGCTCTGCTCCGGGCCCTGCTCCGTGTCCTGCTCTGGGTGGCACCGGGTGGAGCGGCTCCCTCGTCACTTACTGCACAAACCGGGAACGGAGGCGGCCCAAGGGCAGAGTGGAAGACGGCAGGGCCCGACGCAGCCCCGGCCGGGGGGACGCCCCGTTGGGGTCCCTCGGGATGCGGCGCGGGCCGCAGCGCCGGCGGCGTCTCCACGCCAGCCTCGAGCGGGAGGGCGGCTCCGCGGGCACAGCCGGCTCCGCGCTGCGCCTTGCAGGGGGAAGCGAGTCGAGTTTCCTCACCAAAACAAAGTGGAATAGCATATCTACTATAAACAGAGTATTCTGTGTACAGGGTTTAGGAACAGTCCTTATCAAAATACACACAACTGAATATACAATTTGTCCCATGGCCATAATTTATTATCTCACCACAAGGCACAATACACAAAGCTTGGAGGGCCCTATACAGTCATCGTGGCAGAACGCCCCGCAGCCTTTACACATGATCATGGCTTTAAGGCTGCACGAACACTTGAACGCTATTTCTTCGACGCTGCTGCTGTCTGCAAACATCTGCACGGACAGGGAGGGATTGCGGCTCGCAGCAAAGTTCGCTTTGTGGCTCAGCTGCATCATGCTCCCAGCAAGGCTTCTGGGAAAAGCTGGAGCGCCGGATGAATAATTCAAGGTGGTGGAATTAAGTTGCAGCTTCGAAAGCTTCCCATAAAACGCTTGCTTGATATTGAGCTGGGAGGGTATGGAAGAAGGCTCCAAGGGATGACTGGGCCCTTTCCCTTGCTCCCTCGCAAACTTGAAGAAGGGCAGGTCCATAAGCAGTGGAACACCCTGCAAATGCTCCCCGAGCTCCGCGGGGTTCTGGGCCGCATCCTTCCGCTTCTCCACGTTATTCTTGGCCGGGCCGCCACACGCCAACACGTTCTCATTCGTTATTTCTCCCAGGGTGTTCGTGTGCTGCTTTGAAGTCCATTCTTCCCTTGCAGCTGGCATTCCTTCTCCAGATGCACAGCTCTTGTTCAGAGGAATCTGCTTGCTGGGGGACGAGGTTCCCATGGCTGAAACTTGATCCGAAGCCCTTGTGTGGTGTAGCCGAACGCTGGTGTTGCAAGGAAAACCAGAACCAAAAAGCTTTTTGCCTTGAACTCCAGCATAACTTTTACCGACTGAGGTCCCTCCTGTCTGATTTGGTCCAAAAGTTGCATTTGGAGATAAAAACCTGGGCCCTACAGATGGATTTCCCTTCTCTGGGGTTTTACTGGTGACGACACTTGCCAAGGGGCTGTGCTCCGGCCCCCGAGGGGCCTTGGACAACTCCTTTTGCTCTTCAAAGCTGCAGGAAAGGGTTCTTTCCCGAAGGTCCACGTCTTCAGGCTTCTGAGAGGCGCTTGCCACGTTTGCCCGTTGATCCTGACGGATTAAAGCTGAACCAACTTTGGAATGCTTTTCTGGAACAGATGGATTCTCCGTGCCTGCTGACCCGCCCTGCGTTCCCTGGGGATCTAGGAAGGGTCTCGCAGAGCGCAGGTCTTCGCTCCTGCTTAGGGCCCCTGTCATTTCTCCATCTCGAGAAGACTCGTTGCCAAAACAGCCTCCGTCTCCTCTCTCGGCCTGCACGGAGGGGCTCTCCGACGGCCGCTCCAGAGGCGCCGCCGCCACTCCCAGCTTCGTGCTGGCATGAGACACTGGGAGAACTCCTGCCAGGGGAAGATTCCCCTTCAGTAACTGCATCACCAGTGGGTTGCTGCTCTCAAGAGAGGCCGTGGGCCGAGTGGAGCCCGGTGGCACTGGTGGCACCGGTCCCCATGCCCGGGGCAAGGACAAGCTGCCCGGTGCCGAGGCGGAGGGCAGGTCCACGCAGCCAAGACTCTCCGTCTCCACACGCGACTTGGGTCTCATTCTATCACACCTCTTAGCATCGCTCTCACAAGAGGAGTCTTTCCCAGCTGCCTCCCTTGAACTGGCGCTTCTGTAACATAAACCCGTCTCTACATTCTCATCAGCTAAGTCAGCTTCAAAATCGGAGGCAGTATCTGTTGTCTCGCTGTGCGTGCTCTGTACTTCCTCATCTCCATCTGCCAGRAACTGCCCGGTCTCCCTCGGGGGCAGACACGCAGGTTCTGCCTCTGTTCTGTGTCCYGTCTCCCTCAGCTGTGGGACTTTTCCACAAGTATCGATCCTATTTGGAGCAGTGAAATCATCACGTAAGAAGGGCCTCGCCTCTGTGTTCTGTTCTTCATCATCTGGTTTGGTGCCGCTCTCCCGCTCTGGCTGCAGGTGTGCGAGGCCACACAGCGCAGGAGCCACSTCCTCCTCACCAACAGGCACTGCTCTCGAGTTATCGCCGTCAGCGACACACTTCTCCACAAACGTTTCAGAGCTATTATATCTAAAGCTAGGGATCATTTTTGGCTCGTGACACTCTTTACCATCCGCTGACGATTCCGGCAGAAGATCAGGACAACGGGAGGACCTCTCCTTCGCATCAGCAGGACAGCTCCGCTGTGCTGTGGGAGAAGTGGCCCCTTGCAGCGCCGCCGCGGTGCCGCCGGCTCCCGCGGGCACGGGGGCAGTGCCCTGCTCCCGAGAACCCCCCAGGCCGTTCCCTGGGGGCAGCGGGGACCGCAGCGCCGCGCTCGGCCGGGCCCGGGGCACACGGCAAGGGGGCCGCTCGGTCCTTACGGCGCGGRGCGGCTGCTCGGGAGCTCCCTCCTGCCTTTCAGCAGCCGCGGGGTCAGAGGAGGAGGCGGTCAAGGCAGCGCAGAGCTGCCCTCCGGGTGCAGGGGCGCCAGGCCGAGCTTCCCGCGAGGCAGCGCCCACGGGGCTGCCGTGTCCCGCGCCCTGGCGAGGACCGGGGCCCTGGCTCGAGGGGACGAGGGCATCGTCCTCGGCCGCCTCGGGGCCGGCGCCTTGCGCGCTCACAGCGGCAGGCGGCAGTAGTTGTGCTCGCTGTAGATGTGCCGCCCGCCTTCCGGGGGCTCTCCGGGGCCGCCGCTGCTCCGCTCGGCCGCTCGGCTCTCCCCCGCGGGCRCCTCTGCCGCCGCCGGGGCCGCCGGCCTCGCGCTGGGCTCGGGCCTGCAGAGCACGGGCTTTAATGTCTGCGAGGGTCCTGGCGCCGCTCCTGCCGCGGCCGCTGGGCTCCGTGCTGGGCACGATCCGGGGGCATATCTGGTAAGCTGGCTGACCCTTAACCACCCAGGGTGGTTTAATACGTGAAAGTTGAATCTGAAAGAAAGAGAAAAGGGTTCAGGTCCATTGCCCCAGCATATCTGTTTGCTCTGATCCTTATCACAAGAATTCGACAAAAGGGTTAAAATTCCTACTAGAAGACAAATTTTAGTAGAAAAAGTAGCAAGATCCCCATAACCTCCGCTCAGGTGTTCTGTCACACACACAGAACCCACTCAACACTGTTTTACCAGAGCCAGCAGGCAAATATGAAACGGGTAATTTGTATTCAGATCTTCAGTAACCAAAACGGTCTCCTAAATAGAGAGGATTACCCTCGAAAAGGGAGAGCACTCAGGTTCTACCCCAGCAAAGGGAAGCTGGGCAGGTTCAAGTACGTGATTTGAAAGTCTTCCTTGAAAAGTGTCAGCTAGTTCCAAAAGTGATTTCCGTCTCCACAGAAATGCAAACTAACAGAGCAAGTCAAGGTTACCCCACTCTTTTGTGCAAAGACCTTGGAAAGATTTTTCCATTCCTTTCTTTGCGTGTCTAAATAAGACAGCAAACAGCAGTAATTAGAGTAACCTAGCCAGCTCTATCAGTGAAACTCTTTCACTTACACAAAGATGATGATCCCTGACATTCTAATATTGCTTTGATGCTGCTGAGGATGATAGAATTAAAATAATGAACAATATAATAATGAACAAGTATAATTTTCTCTCCTACCCGGATGGGTGGGACTTTTGGCTCCTCTTTAGTAGGCTGTGGCTTTTCTGGGTGAACACTTTCAATTGTGTTACGAAAGGACTGACGATCTTCAAGCCGCGGCTTCTTCTCGGGGAAGGATGCGGAGGCAGCCTCCTCAAAGCATTTCCTCTTCTGCTCCTTTGACTCCCGAGCCGAGTTCTCCTGGGGCAAACTGGGAATTCTGTTTGCAGCTGCCAACGACACATCTTCCGATTTATTGTGCAATTTGGAAGTCTCTGGAGAGAGAGGCAATTCCGAACTCTCTGGCTTCAGCACTGTAGCAGAAGCACTTGTTAGATCGTCTTTCTTTAGATCTATCTCCGGCTTTGACTCTTTATGAGGTGCAGAGTCTGGTAGCACAGAAACTGTGGCTTTGTCATCCTCTGCTTGCTCTGGCTCACGCGTTTTATAGAGGCTCCTCCTGGCTCTGCACCGCAGGTCTGCCCTGGACCGTTTCTTGAAGCGCCCATCTCGCTGCCGGGTGGAAGGACCACGCTGCAGTCTCGCTTCTCCCTTAGCAGACAACCTTGTCCTGTTCTCAGCATCTTCTTTCACCAGGTTCTGCTCCTGGGATTCTTCCCGGGTCAAGCCCATTCTACGGGACAAACACAAGAACTAGTTAAAAGATGAAGTTCACTCTAATAGAGGCACATAATCTATTATTTATAGTTCTACTGTCACTGCTATATACAGCGGCACACAGCTTACAAAGCAGACGCTCATCAAAACCTCATTACATCAGTCTGCAAAGAAATAACCTATATATTTGCTATCCTGCACTATTGTCACAAGGAATGAGAAAATTGAGAAAGTGTAAAAATTTGTTATGGAAAGTTAATATTAACTTGTCTCAAAAACAAAACAAAAAAAATAGAGGAGTTATAAAATCCTACTCTAAATCAGCCAATTTCGTCTAAGGACCTTCCTGCAGCAACAGCCTGATCACGAACACTCCACAACTGATGTTTTTTCCTAGGATTGATGCTGCTTCTTCTAGCTATCAGAACGTTGGGATACTCCAAAACCCACCTTGAGTAAAACAGGAACGACGAGGTGAAATTACTTACTTTTGGCCATAGTAGTCCTCAAAGAACTTCTCTTTCCATTGCTCCACTCTCTTTTCTTTTTCCATTTCCTGTCTAATTCGAACTTGCATCTCATGGGTGAATTCGCCTACAAGGAAGTCAGAGACTAAAGTCTTGTTCTAAACAAAGCCAATTTTGCAGATGTGATTTAAAAAAAATAATAAAGAAACATTGTGTAATAGTTAGGCATGCAAAGGATAGATTTTCTGTTAGCACTCTGCCTCCCAGCAGCTTCAAGTGAGTTTGAATATGGTATTTTACTAGGAAGAGGCCACCATTTAAAGGAAGAAAAGTCCAGTATTCCTTTACACCTCTGCAAGTTTGTTCTGAAGATGCCATGGTGCCCAAGAAAAAACTTATCTTTAATTTTAAAATGTGAGAAAGCAGCAATATATCCAGAGATACTGCAAAGCTGGACTATGTTCACATTCATTAAATATAGGAGAAAACAAACACACAAAAAACCAAGCCTATAAAAACAAGAAATTAATTCTTCAGCTACCCAGGAAATGAAGTCTGCTCACCGTCAGCGAGTCGCTCTCTCCAGCTTTGAGCAGCATGGGTGAAGAACTCATTATTTAGAGCACTGCCACTGAGCCGCATCAGCCCATCTGCCCCAACCTAAAGGGGAAAGAAAAAGGGTAAGAGAGAGAACACATCTGCTTCTGCGCCTCTGTGAGCAAGAGGTAACACAGCGAGTGGAAAACAGCGAGTGCTGCACATCATACCTGTCTGTCAACTTCTGGAAGCAGGTAAAGGAGCTGCTGCTGGAAGTGTGCTGGGAGGGCATTAAAGGTTCTGGAGTTTATGAGAGCTCGCAGGTTTGTGTTGACAAGAATGGAGCCTGGTGTCTCAAAGTCAATATCCTCACCCCTGTTTCGCTTCATTTGCCCTGTAGTTTAAAGGCCAGCAAACAAAATTTACACTTTTTAATAAAAATATTCACTGTTATGGGCATAAAACCCATGTCACCAAATATTGCAGCAAAAGGAGCAAGATGTATGAGAACAGATTGTAGTAATCAAGCATGAAGAAAGGCTCTCTCAGACTCTTTAATAAYACAGCAACCTCTAGAATTCTGATGGTTAGAGTAACCAAATGATGGGAGTTGGTCACAGCTCTGTCATATGCACATACAGTGACAGAGTCTGGCACTGCTCTTCAGATTAGGCCAGATTAGTCTCTTCCTCGGAGAGGAAGGTCTGGCATAAGAGCTCTAAGATTGCCATCTGCCTTCGGAAGGAMGAAAAGCCTGATGCTTTTTCCTCAGATGTCAACACTATCCATTTTTACAGCCAGTTATTTGCCCGACATTAACCAAAAGCACCTACCAGCTGTGGGCTTTCGGATACCCCTCAACAGCTGYGGAGGATCCCTTTTTATTTCTGTTCTGCTGCGCATGGTGGCTTTGCACAAGGCCAAAGAACTGCTGCTACTGCTGGATGTGCTGCTGCTCTCCCCATCCACGTGCCTTCCTGTGAAGCCTAAGAGCAAAACAATTCCACAAAAAGTCAAGAACAGCAGAGACCCAACTTGGGGAGCAACTTCAGCATACAACAGCTATGCACTAATAGCGGATCTATTGCTAGTGGGTATTGGCCAGTTATTGATAATTTTGATCAGGATAAACTAGCCCTTAACCAACAGCACAATTCTGTAGCCACGTGCATTCTCATCAGGTGTTGAGGAATTTTTCRTGCAAGCTTATACAGATAAATAGGAACTACGGATCAGAAAATGCACTCAGTAAAACCAACACACACACACACTAAAACACCAAAYGAAAGGCTTGCTCACCGGATGCAGACTCCATGTGTGCCCCATTTACTTTCAGCGGCGTTAAGACAACACGTGGCAGCATGACACCAGTCTTCTTCTTTTGTTTGGCTGTCTGTGGTCCGAAAAGAAAACAAATAACATCAGTCAAAGACACTACAGAAGGCCAAGATAATCTTCTCCCAGTTACTGATCTGCTTTGTTCCTACTTGAATCTTCAGGTGTCAGTCATTAACACTTCCTGATAGCACAGATTTCAAAATCTCCTCCCTGGAATACGATCCTCACTCTCTGCACTATAAGAAATAACCCCACAGCCCGAGGCACTTGTACACATCTAACCCCGCTCGCATCCAACTATTGCACAGTAACTAGACTTCTTCTTGACAGGTTTCATGTTTCACAGAATCACACAGARCCACAGAATAGCTGAGGTTGGAAGGGACCGCTAGAGATCATCTAGTCCAAMCCCCTGCTCCAGCAGGGACACCCAGAGCACAGGGCACTGGAGGGGGCACATCCAGGAGGATGTTATAGGAGATGGTGTTGAAAGTCCTCCTAAAGCCAAGACAGACAATATCTACTGCTCTCCCATGGTCCAGTCACCCAGTCATCCCATTGTAGAAAGCTATCAGGTTCATCAAACACAACTTCCCCTTGGTGAATCCATGCYGATCACTTCTTTTCCTTCACAGGCCTAGAGATGGTCCCCCAGATGAGCTGCTCCATCACCCTTCCAGGGATGGAGGTGGGGCTGGCCAGCCTGTAGTTTCCCAGCTCCTTCCTCTTGCCCTTTTGTAAGGCTGGAGTGACCTTGGTTTCTTCCAGTCCTCCGGCACCTCCCCTGCTCTCCATGACCTCTTGAGGATGCTGGAGAGTGGCTGAGCAACCACCCTGGCCAGTTCCCCCCAGCACTCCTGGGTGCATCCCATGCAGCTCCATAGATCTATGCTTTCCCAGCATTCCCATTTTTCCTACCTGTGTGGCTGTTCTGTAGCTCTCCCTGGCAGTGGAGTGTCCCTTGTTTTGAGATTCGGTGGAACAGGAGGCATTAGAGGAGGTTTCATCGAGGGACACTGGAAGAGGAGCGCACTCCCTCAGAGCCCGAAGCTGAYGCACACACTTCCAGGTGAGTGTTGCCAGACACTTACCATCGTTATCGCCACTCACAGTGCTGGCTTCATTGGACTCACAGCTTTCTGCATCCGCCGTGTCCTCCAGCTCCTCCCCGTCGGGCACGGACGTGTTCCGAGACCACTGCAGGGCATCCTTCTAAACGGGCCAAGCACAAGGCAAATGACCACAACTCCTCCCTCCCAGTCTCTACGAGTTAAACCAACGGGAACACACAGCTCGGTGGGCACGGTTCTAGRGCAACTCTTCTCATCTTCCCTATTTTCATCTATTTGATACAGAAAGATATTTTAAGGATGCTTGAGCTCCTAGTAAAGGAAGCTGACAACTTCTGTTCTAAGTTAACCTACATTGACTTTCCAGACACAAATAACAAAACTATTAGCACACTTTACAGACGTTTCCTAGATGAGTAACTCAAATACATTCATAACAAGCAAGGTCAGTAATTGCTTGCTTATTTTTCACAGAAAAGTTCCACAAGTTTCCTAATAAAAAGAAATGTCTAATTCTTCCTGCTAAAGAATAGGTGGCATCAGAGCAGTTTGATACCAAGCTACCATGCTTGAGAAATTTATTTACTATTTGTACAATCAAATTCATTTCAATTCCCCTTGAATTTCCTGACAGCAGGAAAAGGGCGCAAGTGAAATAAGCAAGATAAGTATCAGCTTAACAGACAAATGTCAAAGAATCCAGCAGTACAGAACAATACAAAAGAAAAATCTGAGTCCAGAAACACTTGCAACATTTAAGATTACTGGGACAGTAAACTGGAATGAAAAATATTTAAAGCAGCCCTCAAGATCTGTGGAAAAGGATGATGTCAACTCTAGGCAGAACGTAGTGAAACACAGACCAAATAACCAGAAAAATGAATATATAGTTTCCCAACAAGACTTTATTTATAGCTACATGCTTTCAAACCAGTGTAATTTACTGGTTGACTGTGTTGCCTTGTAGCTGGTGGAAAGGGAGCAAACAGGACAATTCTGTTAAACGGCCACCTCAACTGCACAAGTACTGAAATAAGGAGGCTCATCTTGCTTCTGTGATTTAAGAAATAGGTTTTTTTCCCTGAAAAGGAATTTATTGTGTACAGCTGAAAGGTGCACACTAAAACGAAACAGTGAATTCCAGACACTCTTTCACGTGATGATCTCACACACAGCACGTTCAGCTCATATGATGTTCAGCGACAGTTTAACACTCAGCTAGGCATAAAAGCAGAACTCGCACCTTACCCCTCAATTGAGGGCAGGAACTCAAAATGTACCTTGAGTGTGAAAAGGCTGATGCGTCCAGGCAGCTTGTAGAAGAGTCCATCGCCTCCCCGGGAGTTGGAGTGAAGCATGGCATTGAGGCAGGCCAGGGGAGAAGTGCCACTGCAACAGAGACGCAGAAGAGGGGGGCAGGTCATGATTTCATATAATATATTAGAAAATAAATAAGGGCCAGGTACTTAAGTCGGAGCAGAACTGCTTTCCTTTTTGACYCGTACACCTTAGCCGCAGCACGTCGCAGTCTGCAGAAAACAGGAAATGTTATGCTAACTTCAGAAGTTACTCTCGGTCATTCTTAGATGTCTCTGACCTTTGGTATGTCTTTCCTCCCTTTCATTGTTGGGATTTTTTGGAGTGCRATTCATTTTTACTGAAAAATATAAAGCAGTAGCAGTATAAAGGTGCAGAGAAAGCAAAAAACTGCACACTTGCATGTTTCTAGAACTTCTCTTCCTTGGTGTGGCACGAGCAAAGCGGCACTACTGATTCCGATATAAAAGTCCTGATGCTAATTCAGCACGTCCCAGGCAGCCCGCTGGTTTTGCCACTCGTGATGAAGGCAGCACCCTGCGCTCACACCGATAAACGTGCCACGTAATCTCAGGTTTTCCAGTAAGTCATACATACACACATCTAGCTACTTGGAAAAGACATTAAAGCAGTATCAATCTCGTTACTAAAAGTGAAACTGAAAACCAGTTTGAGACAAAGCATTTCTACGAGAAGCAGTTCTCAGATTGAGAATTGGACTTAGAACTTGTTTCCACCCTGGATGCAGTTGCTTTTGGCACATTGCTTCACAAACACCGACCGCAGACAAAATATTAGCTGCATCTTTTCCACAGTGAAAAAGAACACCTTCCGAAATGACAGGAATGAGCAAACAGTCCAAATGCTCACAGGAGCTAGAAGCCAGTTATGAGGTTGCAGATGACCTGTCCCTTCCCCGGGGACCAGCACCCCCGAAGCAGGACAACCCCGGCTCGGTATCAGTTCAAAGGGAAACCATCTCTTCCGTTGCCAAGTTATTTCCTTCAGGAAACGGGGCTTCGGGAAGACCTTCCATACAAGCACCAACAAAGTCTGCCACGTATTTAACTAGATAGGGTCACGGCCTGCATTCAATGGACAGCTACAAACCTGAAGAAAGCAAACTTTTCTTACAGTGAGAAATTAGTAACAGGGAACGTAAAAGCAGATAATGCAGAGGAAGAACACGCACCTCTACATAAACAATTTAGCCTTATGGGATTTACGTTTACACATGCTGCAAAGTCAGGTTTTCAGTCATCTATTGGGACAAACCTCTCATCAAGCCGGGAAAGCACCAAGAAAATTGAACACATGAAAAGAGACCCGCTAGGACCTTTACAGTGAAAGCAGCCTRTTCATGCAGACCTTCAGTTATCTGCTAACATCAAAGGACTTATGATGGGATAGGACTGAGAAAAGAAAGATGCCGAATAGTGATTAAAAGCACAAGGTGCACGAAGGTTTCTGAATCCAGCTCGAAGCTGTGAAACTACTGCCCAGAGTCATCCTGCTASAATTCCACTGGGTAAAAATCCCGAGCATCAAGTGGCTTTTCCACCAGCTCGGACAGCGACGCTCCAGCCGCGGGGCCGCAGCTGCTCCTGACCTCAGGGACCAACACCAAGCACAGACAAGTGAACACCTGAGTGCAGCTCCAGAAGAAATCAAGATCACCACCTGCAGCTATGTAGTGTTCATAAATCCAGGTGAGGGAGCAAACACGAGCGGGCACACGCTCCAGCATACAGCGTGCAAGAGCCAGACATGCCCTGTTCTGCACTGGTGGTCAAACTCTTATTCTTTTTAAGCACACAGCCCTGAGACATTTATCCCATCACAGTCACCCACGTGCCTGATCTGCAAGACACTTTCTGTTTCTCTTCCACCCTGTCACAGAAACAGATGGAAATTCACAGAACGTAACCATGAAAAACAGCCCTCCCTTCTGCAGCGTCCCGGCTTCCCCGGCAGGTCCTTTTCCAGGCGAAAAACATTTCCTCTGCACAGGCCACAACAGCGTTAGCCCCACTACCACAGTGCTCTAGGATGTAAGCAGAAGCAGGCACACTAATACCAACACAAATTAAAGGTGCTTTCCTTGCTCTCCCGAGAGGCAACACCTGCTCTAGAAATGAAGTGTTCGGTGGGGATGCAACGGAAACCGTTACCCAACTGGAACCACATTAGTGGAAGCTACGGGGAGCTACTCGCAAGAGAAGCACAAAAGGGGTGTAATGCAATGCACGAGCCAGGTCTGYGAGGCATTTATTTCACAGTAAATGGATAAAGGGCATTCTGCATACAATTAAAAAAATGCAATAAAAGATTCCAGTTATTGTCAAGGATAATCAGGCAGCATGTATTGTCATTCCAAATCACTTTGCTGGAAAGGAGAGTGAAAAATTAAAAAAAAAAAAGGAAGAGAAGTGGGTTGGAGACGAGCGGCAGAACRGCACGAAGCAGCCCGAGCCTCTCCAGGCAGCCTCCCCCACGCGCCCTGCACGCTCCCTTTCACACACRATGATCAATACTAACCTCATTTCCTTCAGGCCCTCAGCCTCTATGACCTGCAGAATCTGTTTTGGGGTCATGGGAGCATCAGAGTAGTTTTCCAGCACCTGAAGGGACAGAAACACCAGATGTCAGCGCAGAATTTGTTTCTGCATTCACAGAATCACTCCAAAAGCTGGGGTTCAAATCCAGTAATACACCTCTTAAAGTTATTTACCTACAAAGGGCACGATAATAAAATAAAATAAAATAAAATCAGACTACCTCAAGCTTAGGTTACAGTGTTACCCAGGGTTTACCTTCTTATCTGATTAACAAAAATACAAACGTGAAGAGAAAAGCAGCAGAATTTGGCCCGACCCTATAACATGAAGTCAGTGGAAGCTCTAGCAGAGCTGAGGGTGCACGAGCTGGCACCCCCGCAACATTCCCAAGGGAGCCGCAGCCCTCGCGGCCCCTGCACCTCCCCACCTCCCCACACAGCACCTTGCTGGTGACCAAACCACTGCTGTGGAACAACACGGCCCAAGAGCGCAGCCGCCTTGAAACGCAGCCCCTTTTTCCTCCTCGTGCCACCTCCCGACGGCCACCAGGTGTAAATTCCGGATTCTTGGCAGAGCAGAGCGGAATTCAGAAAGGAACAACAACAACAGCAGAGCATTTGGAGAAGTTATGGGTAGCGACACTGACTACAGATTTGGACTATCTGCTTTAGGAAGAAAATGAGTAACACGAGACATCAAAAAGGTAAGAATTTAGTAGCAACTCATCCTTCCACACAATAAATGAAGAACAAAATCAGCACTTATATATGCAAAAGATAAGGCAGCTCTTTTTTTTTTTCCCCCACTAACCTGTAAAGTTTTCTGCTTCTAACCTTTTGGGAGCAGAAACCCGCCGGGGAAGCGGCGAGGGCCGCTCGGCCCGGAGCCGCGGGCAGGGGCTGAACCCGCCAGCGCTGGCGGCCGCAGCGATGCCCCATCCCAACCCCGAGCAGCACCCCGAGCAGCACCCAGAGCGGGTCCCCGCAGGGCCGCGGTGGGCCCAGGGGCCCCTTCCCATCTTCACGCTCCTCCCCGCCTCCCCAAGCACATAACTACCCAACCCAGTGCCCCAGCCCGACAGCATTTTGGTGTAAAAATAATTTCATAAATCGCATCCCCCCTAAATCTATTTTTCTCCAGATTCCTGAAGATCATAAGGATCCCTAGCACTAGCCTGGCAGGGGACAGAAACGTGAGAACTCTGTAACCTGAGATAAAACACAATGAAAACATGGGGAGCTGGGAGAAAAGATCAAAGTGATGAACCGTGTTGAAACAGAGTAAACAATTTTCATTCCGAGCCAGGGCAGCCCCATCACATTCTTTTCCTCCGCTAATCAAAGAACTCCATAGGTGACATTTTTTCTATCCCTTCCACCAAACTGTCATCCTGCATCACTCAGACGGAATAAACATCTGATGGGGAAGACGTCACTTGGGAATCAAATGCAAGACCCACGAGATGCGGCAGGCCCATTTTGGAAAAACAAGGAAATTCTCCCCAGCTTATAAAACCTCTCTAAGCGCCAGACACAGCAGCGAGCAAAGCGGGGCACACAGCCCAAACCTCAGCACCAACGAGCGCTTGCACAGAATCCATGCACAGGGGAACAAATTCCAACCACAGCCACGCGGAGCCTCCTGGATGCTCTAGGAAGCAGCAGAGAGGAACCTACATCTTTACCCTCCAAAAAGCCCCATTCCCAACAATTATCCCCATCCCTTTCCATTCTGCAGCTCCCAGCGCCACGCTAACCCTCCGACAGGAGCTATGACTTCAACACCACCAGCTCATTCCTTCCCTCAAAAAGATATTTTCCCCCTTGATTATTTATAGTACTGGTAGTCAAGGGTTCCTACATCCATAGTTACCAAAGTTTGCATCACTCCCCCAATTAATTTGCTGGCAGCAGAGATGTCTGGCCCTGACAGCACTTGTTGAGGAGTCCTAGGGCCCTGTGCGTTCAACGAGTCCTTGAAGCTTTTATGGCTTGTGCACGTTAGCTCTGCGAGAGCAGCAACACCCAAAAGCATTTTTGCCTGCAATTCTTGGAAACACCTAAAGGAATACAAAATATAATAGCGCGCGCCAGAAAGGAAAATTAAAAGCATTTTGACAGGCAGCACGTGCAAGCCGAGCGTTAAATAGAGATCTATTTTTAGTGGGTTTACAGCCCGCCCTGCGAGCTGGAAGCGCAGCCACGCGGCCGTAGGGCTCCTAAGTGGATAATCTGGTGCGAGATGGTTCTATTTCTGGTTCATCAGTTGCCCAAAGCTGCAGTTGAGGCTCAGACACCTCGCGCACCTGGCCGGAGGAGCCGGGTTTGCGGAAGGATCCGTCTCCCAGCTCTGAACGAGGCTGGGGAGCTGTGTCACGAGGCGGCTCCCGGGGAGCTGCCACCCCGCATCGCATTTTGGCAGCCTATAAACACCGACTTACAGCCATGGAGCCCAGCACGTCCAAACGAGAGGACCCTGAGCRACATCCCCCAGCCCCGGCGGCAGCTGCGAAGCCCCCAGACTCCGCGGGGCAGCCCCTGGCCCGTGGGGGCACCAGGGCCTCAGATGTGAGCGGTCTCGTGCTCAAGCACCACGGGGGCCACTCGATGCCTCTCTGCAGCTTCTCAGGCTAAATCGCAGCAGTGCAAACGATGGTTTCCCCCCAAGCGCTGATGGAAGGTGGGGAGAGGAAGCCTGCTCGGCATAGCTCCGGCAAGCACGAACAAAATTCTGTGATATCCAGAAAAACCCCGTTCACAAGGAGCATCAGGCCCGCACCCCAGAACACCCTCAGCACCAGACACGCGTCCGGCCGGGCTCAGCCACCCTGCTCCCTTTGCGTGTCCAACACCCACCCCAGCAAGTGAAAGCAAAAGAAACCACCACCAAAGAGCACGCAAACCAAACACCCCCAAGGCCTACAGAGCTGTTTCGATGGYTATCCATGTCCTACACTGCAAATACACCCATAGCCTCTCAGACCAGCACCCGGGCATCCTCAGGGAGGCAACAAGAGGAAGCCCCAGGGACCCATGTGCAGCGGCAGAGAGGCAGCAGGGTCATCCCCGACTCCACAGACCTATTTCCATGTATCCCAAAGGGAGGGAGGTCCAATGGRGTGAACTTCCTGCAGCCGGCACCAAAGGGAGACTGGAGCAGCCGGTGGGTGAAACCGCGGCGCTCACCCGAGCTCCAACGAACCCAGTGACTTGCTGGGCAGGCCATGCTTACTCTTGGAAAGATGCTCCACTTGGATTAGCTCCTGTATTCCTGACTCATAAGAGGGGTTTGTGACTGAGAGATGATTTGGACTCTTTAAAATAAGAGAAATGAGTGTTCTGCCGCTGCGGTGGTCAAACACCTCCAACGTCCCTGCAGACACTGGAAACACAACCAAGCTGATGGCAGCTCCTAAACCTCCGTCCCAGTAGTGAGATTCCAGAGGGAAAAAGAAGTAAGTTCGCGCATGCCGGGAGGTCTCCTGCAAGCAAGCAGAACGGCTTCTGACCACGAGGATGCCGCCCTGGTGCCACCGCGCACCAAGGCGCGAGCAGCGCGGCCACCACGTGCGGCACAACGCGTGTCCCCCACGACGTCCCCGTCGGGCGGCGCCGGCGCTCGCGGCAGCCCCGGCCCGAGACCCAGCGCGGGGCAGCAGCGCCCGGCTCCACGCCGGCCTCCCGGGAGGCGCCCGCTCCTCCTGCCCGGGGTGCGAGCCACCCCAAGGGAGGCAAAGAGACACCGCCGAGCTGGGAACCGAGCTCAGAACCAAGCTTGGAATCGAGCTGGGAAGGGCACCGGGCCAGGGC